ATACCTATTAATACATAATACGAATAACCTTTATATCCATCATGAAGATGCGAACTCGAACATGATGTGTTGAAATCTCAATTATGGTTAAAATGCAAAACATTACATACATGGTGCGATGGTAGCAACGTTTGCCACCAAAACAGATCCTACATTCAATACCAGTATTTGAAGGAATTATGCACGAAATATCATTAAAAACTTTGTGTACATACATAGTACATATGGATCGAATGGTAGACAGCCACCTTGTTAAAGATATGCTATAACAAGAGAGGTTAAGTCCAATTCTAACGCTGAATAAAAAAATAAAAACGACTCATACTGGTAATGATCGTGATGAAGAAAAAGATACAGATGCTGGGAATCGCCATTTTTTCCATCTGTCCTGTGACGTACAAGATATTCTGAAATAGAATTAATGCCACCCATTTATATTTGATGGGGTCACTTGGTAAATATAATATTTTTACTAATTGAAGAGCTCTTGAGATTTACTAGTAAATACAGTTGAAGTGTTGACTGGTTCTCGTAAATATGAACCACATGTAGAATAACATTAATGCATAACGTAAATTAATGATCTCTAAGATGATAAGGAAAGAAGAAAAGTTCCAGCTCATAAGGTATTCTATGGTGTGGACATTTTAGCTTTGAAAAGGTAACATTTTTGTGATCATGATCTATAAAACAAGCATCGTCACGAAGGTCGTCACTTTCCTCGAGATCTAGTAATGTACTTAGATCATATATTTTGTATGATTTCAAGATATCGTCTGGTTTAATGTTATGTTTGTCCCTTTCGGCTAGACAGGACCATTTCATGACACGATTCTTGTCCAGAAATCACCTGAATATACATGATAATTGTTTAGATTGAACCAAATATACATACGCACCTACGATTACCACCTACGGTACACCTGCTTGAATCACCTGTCGAATCACACCGAATGTTTTTTAAAATGCTTTATTGGTATTACACGTGCAAACCCTTTTCTAGTGCGGCTCTTTACATTTGCAGAACTTTGTTAAAATCAATTGCAGTGTACTGAATTTTGCAAACAATTTTTTCAATGATGTGGATCTATTTCATTGTTACAACAATCATTATATACTGTCTACTCCACAGACAAGCTACAATGCATTTCAAAGCTTTTTAAAAGTTGCAATTTATGGACTATAATAATGCTGTGCGTACATGATAGGCCTATAGACCAGGTGATATGCTACTGTTTATTATGGTGGCCTGGTAAGAATAAAAATAAAGGCTGACCATTCCAGGAATGACTACATACCATGTGTTTGTACAATTCTTTGTTTTTACTACTTGTTTTGTTTATTTCCATGTATAAATTACTTCCATCCGATACACAAATTGTGTCCTTTTGAACCTGTTGTCATAATTACACCCATGTGTGATTCAAATTGATATCTGGACACCAGAAATAACGATAGCCATGTTTTATTTCTTATAGAATAAATCTCTAATCAGAAAAAAACAAAAAAACAAAACAAAACAAAACAAGAACCGAGCTCTGACAAGAAAATCCTGTAAGCAGACAACTAATATAAATTTTCATTCAGTATTCATATATGCAAATGTTGAAAAAGTAAAATATAATGTTACCGTAATTATTGTAAAGTATGACATACCGTGCAAAAAATACAAAGACCTATTTGTTACAACATGGCAACATGTCCTAGGGTAGACATAAGAATACGGTTTGCTTACAAATAAACATTATTAAGCATCACAATACATAATTCGAGCCTCGCAATAAAATATTTGTATCAGAACATACGCCTTCAAAATCTTGTGTAAAACTATTCCATACCAAATCTAATTAGAAACCAAACTGATAAGGACTCACTCCACTAATTCATTTGCCATCTCTTCCCATGTTAAAACATGAAATTCAACCTTCTATAACTTTTTCCAGAAACCTCGTTGAAAGCTTTCCAACATGTCGAATGAAAGCCTGACCAATTCTCAATGTCTCCTAAAAAATTCATTATATGATGACCATGAAAATTTTGAGCTACTAAAATTGAAAGTAGACTACTACCGGTTATACTCATCCGCTAGAGTTTGGCACTTCACAAAACGACTATTTTTAGAATTAGCCTTCCGCCTTTAAGTCTCTCATCATCTCACCAAATCTGAAAGATAATGCAATTTCAGACATCAAATTCCAAATCTAGACCAAATTTTACCCAAAAATAGGCAGGCAAAAACCCCAAAAGGGAGAGAGAAAGAAGATTTCTACAATCATTTGCATAAAATGTTTTAGTGGAGTGAGTCCATAATGTTGGTGAATTACCAGAAGAAAGGTAACTGTTTATTTGTTTGAAAATTCGTATTCAAAGGGACGTCATGTATAATAAAACCAAGAAAATCAGACCACAGTGGTGTATTTATGTCAATACAATATAATTATTTACTCTCTTCAGAAATATAACATAGCTTCCTTAAAAGCCATTCATTTTATTCCATCTAGCCTTTACATCTGTAGGTATATTCCCTAATTAGATTAGAGTACTGAAAAGGGATAGGAGAATTACAGTTTCGGAAGTATAAATATATGTTTAAAAGAAATTATTCTATCTGTAGAAAAACTTCACATTTGCATAAAATGATGATATATAGAAACGAAATTTTATGGATGGATTTTATAGAAAAGGTAAATGAACTATTATAAATAAAGAAATCGCCTTTGGGCGAGTTAATATTTAATCTGATTTCAGATCAGAAGAGATCGTTTATTCCATTTTCTTAATAAAGTATTTGTTCCATTCCAATCCTACATCACATTATTACAACACACTGCCGTAGCGTCTTAAATTAGATATTTTATAAGTCAAGGACATAAATGATCAGACCAAGTTTAAATCAGATGAAACCTGTAATCTCTTACGTAGTTACAAGAGACTGTTGACGCCCTTTGTTACAAAAACAATAACTAAAAACCGACCTTCTTTAAATCAAATATATTATAAAATCTACTGGGTCAAGGGCAAACAATTAGGCAGGTACCGCAAAACGTTAAGAAAATGAACAATAGTTTAAACAAAAAAAAAAAAAACGTTGAAAGTTTGATATTCCCGCCGATAGTTTTAAAATGTGAAACCTGAAAAAACTGAATTAACATTTTAATCTTTCTAACTTAGCCAGATTAACACGGAAATGTTTCACGCAATATGGCAACCTAGCTGTAATCTAGGTCAAACACAATTGGCCTACGTGGTGGCAGTACTGGGACAATTTTCAACCATTTGAAATGTCAACACCCCTCATCCTCAGAATCTTCTTCAGTAACGGCACTAGTAACAGTCATCATAGCACTTGAAAATGCCCTGGCAATTGTGGAACAGGGTGGTTTTTTTGTCAACGTACGAAGTTCCAATTCTGTTACATTTTTGGTTAACTTGTACGGATTTTAACTTCAACTGCAGTCGAACATGTTTTCGTCAAATAAATTTCATTGATTCCTCTTCTGTCTTCCTATCTGTTAATGAAATAAGTAGTTAAAATAATCTGTCATACACTTCTTTTGGGTGATAATAAACAATATTAGTTTTGTCAACATCTTGCAAGAATGGCGCCTTCATTAGTGTTTATGAGATCAAATTGACTGCATTTTCAAGTACAAGTAACTAATATATATTTTCATTTCATCCATAAACAAGTTCACTAAGTTTTGTCAAAATCTGTCAAGAATTGTACCTTCTAGAGTGTTTACAAGCTAAAAATTGCTAATTTTTCTGATTTTCAATAGCCTTCATCCTTGGGTGATTACAAATTCACACTAATTTTAGTTAAATTCCCCCAAGAATTGTGACTTTTAGAGCTTATACTGATTAAAAAAATATTTATCGATCTTTCTTATTTTCAATAAGGATAATACTTGGGTGATTACAAACACCCACACCAAATTTCGTCAAATTCCATGTGGGTGTAAATAACGATATTCAACTGAGTATAGAAATAGAAAGTGAAATTCCTTGTATGAGGTAATTTTGAAGAAATTATGCGATTTTTATACCCAAAAACCCCAAAATGGCGAATCTGTCCTTTAAATGTTCAGAGCTATAAATATAGAAAACAATCAATAAGCTTATAAATTAATAATATATTACAATCCAACATTCTTGAATAGGTTCAAGAGGCAATTTACTCAAACTGTTGGTTTAATCCCACATGTTACTAAATGACCTTTTTAGATTTACATATCGAATTCTAGAACTTCTTGTGTTTTGTCAAAGGAATGTAAAAGAGTAATATTGATTGTGTTTATAGAGTACAGGTGTTGTTTGGTTTAAAATGACGAAAGCTGGAACCTTTAAACCACCATATTGTACTTCCGACAGTTTAAATCTCTTCAATCAATGTGCTTTCGATCCATTTGTGTTAGAAAATTTAAAGTGAATAATATATTGAGAATGATAAAAACTCAATAATCGAAATGAAAGATCAGCTGTATGTATTGTCTTTGCCAATTGGATAAATAAGATTACACTTATTATCCCGTTGCAGTTTAAATTAAATTCTGCCAACATCATGCAGTTCGCTGCAGTTTTACCAGGACAGCTGCATTAGACTACTTCCCACAGAGACTTTTCACGTGTAGAACATAGGGTCTAAGGTTATTGTCTAATCCCAATGACAAGATAATTTTTCCACGCCAGCCAATCCGACCCACAACAATTGCAAAAAACCAAGGATATCATCTGGAACTGTGACCGGGAATGAACCCCGTAATAGGCACTTGTATTGAAAAAATATATTAAATAAATGCACAACTTCTTAAAGAAAAAAAAACGTACGTCCATAACTAATTTGATTTTCAGTGCTTTTTTTTTCAAGCTGTTACCTTAATTGTGCTACTTTAACCTTACCATGTACAAAAGAAATAGAAAACGGATGTTGCTTTGACAAATGATGTTTTACAGAAAGTTAATGAAAGTCATGGTAGCTGATGAGAGAAAGGGACACGATCATGGAGACGTATAAGGTATTTCATTTAAGATTTTGAAACCCAATAAGAAAAAGTTGTATATTTCTAACCTAGTTTATCAAATTGTGTAGGCCTACTTAAATAAAATATCGGTTAATAGAAAAGCAGTAGAGACGGGTAACAGATTTAATATGTTGAAAACTGAAATAAATCTTATGAATATCTTACGTTTTCAAACTGGAAATTGGTTTGTATGTTCATATGATATATCCATTTGTAATTCATGTGTGAAGTTATTTAATATTGCATCTGCATACTTCTTACTTATTTCGATTGTGTTATTGTAAATCATGTCCCTACTAACTCTATAACTAGCAAATTAATGGAACTGGGGCAATCGAGACGTTGATTTGATGGCAATCAAGTGCCTCAACTGCTGCGTATCTAATTAACATTAATTTCTTAAGTAATTTTTTGATATCTTGATAGAACTGTCAGAAACAAAAATGAAATCTGATTTCTTTTCAGATAACACCACAGGTTGTTTTCATGGTGATGCTATGGATAAACACAGTGTTTGGTATGCCAGACAACTGCGCTAACAGCACTGCTAGTGTTGAAAATTGTCACATGACTCAGGGAATTGATCAGGTTTATATCGAAGGATTTGCACCAGCTTGCACTAAACACGATGTTTGCTACAGATGTGTAAGTTGCCATCTATTTTAGTACATTTCAATTGGTCATCCTTGTCAACTAGTACAGGAAGTTTCCATACTTTGTTAAAAACAGCATTCCAACCTATGAACTACTACCTGTCTCTCGTATATCATTTTCATATCTTCCACAGTAACAGACAATTGGTCATTTTGGAAGCATAATGAAACAGCGCATTATCATATTGGTGCCTCTTCCTTGGTTAAATGAGAATCCTTCTTCTTACCCATTCCCTAATGTACGACGTCACCTCACTCATCTGATTTTGCTGTCTCTAAAGCAGTCATTAAATTTTTGTACTTATAGCGTTGCTGTGAGCCAACTTGATTATGTCCCTTTATCCGTAACACAGTGTTTACTGGAACGTACTCAACAAGTTAACATATTATTTCAGGGTGCCAGATTTCACAAAGACAGAGAAAAGTGTGATCTTATATTTTTGGATGAATTATCCGCAATATGTAAAACACTAAATGGTACTACTTACAATGTTGCAGCATGTGACGGTGTTGCTGGTACGTTCTACTCCCTCATTTACATGTCGGGTAACTTTACATATTACGAAACACCCCTGCACTTCTGTAAGGATTTCTGGGTTGCTGTTTGCTTGAATTAATAAACCGGTTATCTAATCTGTATTGCATTTATTTTCACAGCAAGTTGAGGAGTCAGTACATCTTTTCTTGAATTCAAAAGTTGTATGTAGGCTATGTATTTATCAAAAATCTGTTAAAAACTATAGATTATATAGCATTTTCAATATGCGCGATTGCATGGGTCAATAGCCATATAATCTATAAATAATTCAGGATTCTAGAGCATTAACAAACGTCGGATGGCTTCCGACAATAAATGTCCACATACAGAGAGGTGTGTGGTCTTGGTGTCAGTAGGCTTTTGAAACTACACTGTTGTTCACTTGTTCTAGAATATGTCCCTTGGTATATATATGGACTAAGACCGGTAATTCATTTGCCAACTGTTTCCATGTTAAATCACGAAATTCAACCTTCTACAACTTTTTCCAGAAATTTCGTTGAAAACTTTCCTATATGTCGCATGAAAACCTGGCCAATCCTTAGTTTCTTGACAAAAATTCAATATATCATGACCATGAAAATCTTGAGCTAGCCAAACTAAAAGTAGTCCATTTCATTTGATCAACATCCGCTTGACAGTCACTGCATACAGAACTACTATAATCTCTCATCGTCTCACAAAATCTGAAAAAATGCAATTTCAGATGCAAATACCGAAAACTGAAGCAGAAAGAGGACTACAATTATTTACATAAAACGTGTTAGTCCTATATAACTACTGACACGCGGATACATTCTGAGCTTGTCTACAGGTTTTGGGACAGCATTTATACACAAACTCTTTGTAGGTAGTTGTGTATCTAATGAGCTTTATAGATCTATACCAGATGCAGTTGATGGTTTGTCACATTTTGACATTAGACCGATTAAGGACAAGAGAGGGATCTGACTGCCTGTTAAGACATGATATTGGAACGATGGTGAATCCTTTGGGTAGGAACTACATCCCAATGCTCACATGTGCGGAGCGAAGGTATACCAGCGTGTACCAGTCACTCAGAAAAAAAAATAAATAAAACATCACGAAACTTTTTACAAACCTATCTATTTCAAGAGAACGGAGATGTACCCTGATTAATGCTGAAGATAAACCTTATTTTGAGGATTTACTGAGTAATCCTTCGCTAAATTAGCTCGATTCATTTTATCTGTTACAGGCTATTAACTAAAATTACAGAATCATGTTCTAAGCCGAAACATGCTTGAGGTGCATTAAAAAGTATGGAACGAAAGAAATAAAATACAAATTGAATGGTTGATTTGAACGGAGCTTGTCTTTGAACTAACCGAAAATCATTAAAGAAAACGTGAATGATCATGAAAATAAGCGAACTTTCCCCTCGATTCGTCTTTAGAACTGATAACCGTTACGTTATTGATTGCTTTGTAAATATCAGAGCTTCTGTAATGAATGGATCTTGGACACAACATTATTCGGCTCACCGATTTCAACCCTGTAAAATAAAGAGCAAAAAGACATCACCCATTTCATTTAATATCTAGATCTTATTTCCCATTTTTGTTTAGCATCCAAAGATTCAGATGTATAGTGGAAAACATATTACATCAAATGATTTTGGTCGATTTTTTTCTGCATTTTCTTTACTTAGTTCAATTGAAATGGTCACATTATGGACCAGAAAAATATATCGTCGTAATCCTTCTGCTTCTGTTTGTAATTTTCATCCACCAAGAGATCAGCATTGTAAACTCAAAATTCTCAAGTTTATTTCAAGATATATGAATAAAATATTTATAAAAAAATAATTAGCGAAATGCGGTTTTCGAAACGGTATTTTGTTAAATTGTTCTTAACAATTCTGTTACCTGCGTTAATGTTTATCATTCAGCAAAGTTACGAGACAAGTCAAGGCCTAAAATATCGTAAACAAGAATGACAGTGATAAATCCTGAATATTTATGGATCATATTTCAAGTCTATGTGCACTTGTAATATACAGACCTACATCTACATTGTATTGTTTACCACTTGTAAGGCGCACTCATGTTAAACATTAACAACATTTTTTTTATGGGCACATGTATACATTTAATAAATCAGCACCGCCTTTAACTCATTTTACTTCTTATTTTTTGTCTTTGTTTTTACAAAGTCGTTGTTACCGAGGTGTACTGAAATTTTTCATAAGAATTGGAATATCATCATAAATAGTACTGTTAGTGTTTGACTTTGCGTTTCTAGTAACACTAGCGCACATTATCACTTTTGAATTGTTTTTTAGTCCAATTTTGAAACAATTTTGGTTACTATTTCTGGGTTTCTATTTACTTACTCTTTAAGACCATCAGTACTAGTTGAATTAACTTTTATAAACAAAAATGGGCTAACCAACGAACTTAATATATTTAATAAAGTTCACAAAAGTTTAAAAAAAAATCGGTCCTGAATGCTGTGGAATTTGTCACCACCCTATTGCACCGTAACATTTGGTAAAAGCGCGTATGTGAAATTATCATCTGTTGTATGTGTATCGAAAAACGTAAAACATTAACATATACCTAATACTTAAACGATATTTAGGAGTAGAGATCACATTAAATAAAGGAACACAAATTCATGGTATTTTATACTGTGTACGTTCCGGAATGTCAACATCTAGTCAGGTTTTGTTGGAATTACAGTAGCAGCCAATACCATAGTGAACGCAAGTTAACTCAAAGAGTGATGTAAATAACATAATGTTAATTCACCTTTTCAACTCAAATCAAATATCATATAAATATTTATAACAAATATTACATTGTGTAATCTGACGTATTATGACTTTACGTAACAAAAGTTGACAGTAGATAATAAAAGTGAATTTATCATTCAATATCTTATCATGTCTTATTATGTCTGAAATCATGACTTTGTTACTCTTGATTTATGGAATTGAAGAAACCATATTTTATTACATGGAAAGACAGAATCGTAAAATAAATGACACGGCAGTATTACTGATTTTGTCATTGTTTTCTGCTTTGTAAAGTGACCAAAATTATTTGGGTTTTTTTTAAGTCCAACTTTATACTTAAAATGCAACTGCCCTTCCATCAATAATTGCATAACGTTACGCGACAGTCGTCGAGTTTTGACTTTGAAATTGCTTAAGCAGGGTTACTTAATACATAGGCTTCATAATTTTTATGTTAGTTTTAACGAACTTCTGACAAATCTGTTTCTTGTATCTCCACTGATTTGTTTAGTCAGATATAGATTGATCTTGTTGAATCTCACAACGCTAACATGTATGATAGTGGTGGGTGTCACGCGTGAAGCAGACTATGGTTACTTATTTCGAAATACCTTTTTTTAGAGGAGTCCACTACTGTACAACTTTCATTCTCGATTTTGCCATACTTTGGACGAGATTTTGATTAAAGGGAATGTTATGTTATACGGATTTTTATATAAATATTGCGAAATAAAATATGACATGAATATTTCAAACTAATCTATATGTATACCGGCTCGCACCGAACATTAATTTTGGTTTTAAAAAGCTGGAAAAAGCTAGAGCTGTCATAAAACTAGAATCTAGTTGACTTTACAGCATAAAACTGGAATTCTGTTGACTTTAATTCCTAAGTGTTTGATTTGGAACGTAATAAAATGAATTGGTTCATTTATAAAGATATATATGCAAAAAACCAAGACAGCTTTGACGTCATTATTGCAGGCTCATTCGTGATAATTGATGTTTACTTGTAGAGTTTTTCATCTGATTAGACTCTAAGGATTAACCTAATATGTAAATATGTCAGGCAATACGTGTGGGAAATTATATGCAATTCTCTAATTCTCGACAGCTTCAAATTAAACAAATTTCAATACTAAAAAAGTCGTTAAAATGGCACTGTAAAAAGTTTTTCTAATGCTTTTATGTGTTTCGGGGATAATGATATTGAGTTAGGCGATGTTAGATGTATCGTGATATAGAAAAAAATTCCGGAAATAAACTCTTTGTACTGTTATAAAGTATCTCGTTTACTGTGCTTAAAAGTATTTGAAAACTGGCACACGAGGTCCAAGATCTAAGACACATTGTCAAATTTTGATTTTGACATGGCAAAAGCAATTTTATAATGAGGCTGATGAAGTTTGGTTATTCTCAAACAGACACTTTTATACTTTAGTCTGTCAAAACCAAAGGTATCTAAGTGATGCATTCCCGTTGTTATGCATATAATGCACATTATGATTTCATTCCCTTATCAAACTCTACTGTTTACCAAGATACAATAGTATGAGATATAGGTGCTGCAACAAGTAAAGAACACATCATGCACAGCTGTAGAAGAATAAACACATTGTAGAAATTAATTCATGTGCTGAAAGACGTTGGATTTCTTAATTCTGACCAACCTCCACGAAATGCTACAAAATTGTTCACCAAATGGCTATTTATAAGCTTTAAGAAGCCATGTTACATTTTTTCAAAGGTCATTTTGGCCCATTTTATAAAACATAATCCCAAAGTGTTTCGAAAACTGACTAGCATACCGGTAATATCGCCGAACTCTATGATATCATCAATTTGCACCATTTCAATTTTCAGTCAGACGCCTGTGGCTCCTGCAGTTCTACTAGTTATATGACGTCACCATCGTCAAAGCTGCTATTGGACCTTTGTGATAGTGACGTCATAAAATCTTTAAGTGGAAATGCCAAAAACACAGACGTCTTGGAATGCAAATGGATACTACCAGTGTCCCAAATGCACATCACATTTACATATTTACAATCCCTTTAACAGTTAGAAAATAAGACTCCATCACTAAAGTGTTTTATTAACGTACCTGAAATTAATTGGTAACGGAAACAGTAACGTGGTTATTAAATATGTGTAATACTGCTTGCTTCGATTTAACCCTATTTAACTATGCTGCATATCCGGATTTTCTATTGGCAATGTAAAACAGTGAAACAGATCCGAACATTTCGATTTGACAATGTTTACTATATCTTTTTGTCGACTTCGTTGCTATACCGAATTTTACAAATTATCAAAAT